GCATCTTAAGCTCCATAGCCCTCTTCTTCACCCAAAGCGTGTAAGGTTCCAAGGCAATGCAAACTTGTCTTCCAAGCTCCCCTCTATCCAACCTGTGAATCTTAGTCCAAGCATGAGCCATTCTTCTTCTCAAACCAAGAGAATCATCCCCTCCTTGAAAGAATAAACCCTCTAATAAAATATTCTTAGGCCTATCCTTCAACATATAACCCAGCTGACGGCGAGCTAGACTCGGGTTGTAGTTAATTCCACCTTGTATTCCAAGAAGAGGAACATTGGCGAATTCTCCACAACTATCAATAATCTGGACATTATCATAAACCGAAGAAGACCAAGTGATATCAGCATGCATAAGAGACATAATCCTTTGAGACCACCTTAAACAATCCTTGTTTTTCCTGAAAACAGATGACTGGGGTAAGTGTGAAACGAACCAATTATACAGCAGAGGTAGATAGCAAATAATGGTACCATTTCCCTTAGAAGTCCTACTATGGATGGAAAAATAAGTGTCACCAAGCAAAGTTGGAACAAGGTTCCCAATCAAGAAAATTCTAATAGCATTAACATCCACAAAGTTATCAATATTAGGAAACAAGACTAGTCCATAGATGAGTAAAGCAAATATAGCCTCAAACGCCAATGTGCGACCAATGTCAGCAAATAAAGTGGCCTTCTCAATCAAGAACTTAGAAGTCAAACCCTTGAGGCCTCCCTTAGTCTTTAGATTTGCATCAATATCCAATTTCGTCAAATGGGTAGCTGCAGCAATATCTTGAGGCTTAAGAGCTTCCTCCAAACCAGTATACGGAACCTTATCAGAAATCGGTACACCCAACAAAAAAGCGTATTCTTCCAAGGTCGGCATGAGCTGATAATCGGGAAAGGTAAACCATCGGTAAATAGGATCATAGAACTGCATAAGGGTATTCAGAATGCCGTCTTCAATGTTGGTAGAAAGAACAAATAAAAGTCTCCCATAACGAGATAAGAAGCCTGAACGATCATCTACCAAGGGCACTAGCTTTCTCAACTCTGTAAGATCAGGAGCCCGAAAATTGTACTTCTGAGTGTTTCTCCTTCCAATGTCCATAATCAACAATATCTGCGATGTTTGCAAAAGAAAATCTCTGAGATCCTTAAAAACCAATTGAAACACAATGCTCATGAATGCATGAGTGCAAGATGCAACACCCACAAACAAGACATACAAAGCACACAGGTTCAAAGGTTCGGCACGAGCATGGAGCCAAAGGTAAGAACCAACCAACCCACAATGGTATGTACTATGGTTATATCATCACCTGTAGAACAAGGTTCTAAAAAAGTTCCCAGAGTCATAATTCCATCTTTTGGATATTATCGGCTTAAACAACTACTCGTCGGCCAACAATATTCTCAAGAGAAACTCATCTGAGTGTGGTATCGCGTAACGAATAATTCAAGTCTACACCTGAACAGCCACCACACCACGTCCTAATAAGGCCAAGATGGGTTAAAGGGTTCTAAGGTCCTCAGCTTCTCAGGCTCCCAGTCGGAAAAAGTAATATCAATTACGACTACTCGTAAGACATCAGTAATTCCAAAGGGGCCTCCACCGAGCGGGGGATCTCAAGTCAGCTTAGTAAGGACTACTCCATGTAAGCCAACAAGACTATACCACCCTCCTATCATAAGTGCACTCAAGTCCGGGTATAGGACTTATCTCACCACACAGATTACCAGGCACCAAAACAGAACAATCAATAACAAACAAGTCAAACAAAAAAACAATAAATAAATCAAAGTAGGCGAAACCCATTAGGAACCTAAATATCCCCAGCAGAGTCGCCACTTTTCTGTAGCGGTAAAAAATTGTGAGTGTAAGCTATTGATTAGCTTAACTCAAAAGAACAAGAGTCGCCACCGCACTTTTATTTTGTCCAAATAAAGGAAAGGAAAAAGAGCGAACAAAACCAAAGAGTTCTAAAACGAGAACAAGAAACAGAGATCAGGGTAAGAGGGTTGGTTACGCAATGGGAAGGTGTTAGCACCCAAAACGTCTATAGTACTCTATAGGAGCCCTTTAAAATATTTACATTTTTTGGTTTGAAAATGGTTTGTTTGAAAAGAGATTGGGGAGATGAGAAGAGAATTATTTTTTTAGATTTTTGTGTTTGGAGAGACTTATCGCCTCATGCCTACGTACCCACAAAGTGCAATATAGGATCAAAACCCCGTAGTTCGTAGTACAAATGACAAAAATTTGTTGGTTTTGATTGATTTTAGATGTAAAGACAAATCGTCATTTTAAGGAGAAAACTGCGACTATCCACCCACGAGTATTAAGACAACATCTGCGTCACATAAAGATGGAGGATTTGCTTGGATTATCAACAAGACTATCACTCAACATCAACGTGGAAAATGTCAAAATCTTAATAATATGGGGAATAGGAGAATTACATCTCAACTATAGAAATGAATCATGTCTAAACTTTATGAAAATTTTTAAAGTGAAAAAGTGCATAAAGGCACAAAAAGAGTTGATGAGTTTTTGTATTTTTTATGTCTTTTGAAATTGGTCAAAGCATGATTAACATTGATTGACTTTTATTAAGAAGAACAAAAGTTTAAAAATCACTTGACAAAAGTCAAGGTTTTATTGCAAAAGCGGTTTTGAAGTTTGAAACCAAGAAGGTTTTGAAAGAGGGAGAAAGTTTTGAAATTTTAAGAAGGGGAGGAGATGAAGTGACTATTCTAGAAACCAAAATAAGAGCTAGAGGTAAAAAAGATCTAACCGACTTGTAGCACACTCCATAGCAAGCAAGAAAGAATTCCATCCGATTTAAAGCATAAGCTAATGAGCGAGCCAAATAAAGGCTAAGATCCACAATACTCCAAGCATAGGAATGAGAGTCCTAATTCTAAGTCCAAAGGTCCAAGAAGTCCAAGGTCTAAGAGTAGTCTAATATCATAACCAGAAAGTTAACAGCACCAAGTTTTTTAGAGATTTTTATCCTTTATTAGTGTTTTGAACAAGGTATGGTCCAAGTGGACAAAAGAGAAATGACATAAACATAAACAAAGATATGATATGAAATGATAACATGGAAACATAAAAGTAAAGAAATAAGGAGTAAGAAGAGAATATAAACAGAATTATACAAGGATATTGTTAGTGAATTAGTGGTTAGTGGTTAGAACATATGATCAATGATGATTAATTCTTGCATTTAGACCAAGGTTAATGAAAACTCATTAGAGGATTGATAGAATCAAAGCCTCCTAACAATGATTTTCATAGGTAATGGACTTAAGACAAGCAACTAATCATACTTGGACTTTCAAACATAAGTTTGAGCCACGAATGATCATTTTCCGATTAAGGGACACTTTAGCGCTATGTTAAGCAATCGTAATCGGGTTTATGTAGAAACCACGACTATCTGAGGCTGGTCAATAATAATGTTAGTGTTAACACATGTTAGAGAAGTGATATGTAAATCACTCTCCTAAAACATGCCACACACAAAAAAAGAGGTAGTGATCTCATCACAATCAAGATTTTTCATCAATTAATCAAAGGTAATCTATCACTATTCCAAAGTACGGAGAATTATCTCAATGATTATTCGTCCATAGATTTGAAATAATGAAGATTAAACAACCTTGATAATCAACAATCTATGATCCATAGATTTCATCGATCAAAAATAAAAAGAAGAAGAAAGAGAATTAAAATGAAAAGAAACCTCAATTTGAATCTTAAATCGATTAAATCATCATCAATATCAATCACCTCTCTTGGTGGATAAAATCGACACCCAAAGTCCATTGATATTGATGAGATCTTATCAAAATTCAAGGTCCAAAACAACCAACACTTAATCCAAATCAAAATATTTTCAAATAATTTTTTAAGAGCTTTTTTTTCAAAAATGAAATTGAAATACAAATTGATTAAAATAAAAATAAAAAGAAATAAAGTGGAAAAGTCCACGCTTAAAAAATAGAGAAAAAAAATGAAATAAAGAAAAAATTGAAAAGGAAAAAGAGAAAGAAAAAAAAACAAACAGAAACAACTTCTTCTTCAAACTCTCTCGCGACACTATTCACACCGTAGCCGTGAGTTCAAAGCTTGCTCAAATCAAAACGGCGGGACGCGAAACCAACACGGTTATGATTGGAATCAAGAGCTCTTCACAACAGTACAAACAATTTAAGGAAATATGCAATGACGAACTTGAATCGAGAAAACAAGATCCATTGAACTACCTTCAAAGTCACAGGTAAGAAATCAATCCAAACTTCCTCTTGCTTCTCTTCTTCTAAATGAATGAATTCTGGTTCGAAATTGGTCTCTGTTTGAGGTTAATTGAAGTTAATTTGGTGGAAGGAAGTAGGAGAAGAAAATGTGAGCAAAAGGTTTCGTAGTGAGGAATTGAGGAAGAAAATTAGCAGAGATTTTTTGGCTTGAAAAGCTTGAGAAAATGAGTTAGAGGTGGATTGTATTTATAGATGAGAGTGAGTGAAAAATGATTTGCCGTTTGTGAGAATTTCACTGCGTTTTGGTTGCTACAATGTGTGTAACCCATGTGCATTTTTTTACGTCGTTTTGCTTTATTTCACTTAGCTCTTGTATTAATTTGAATGTGATGTGGATTTTCTGCTTTTTGATTTCAGCTCAGTCTTAAATATCTGACGTGGATTGGCTTTCATGGCTCACTTATATTTTGCACAGCTTGGCTCTCGTGGTATTTGTTTCCTCAGCTCCACCTCGGTTTCGAGCCGCTTTTTCTCTGCTTCTTCAGCAATTTTCTTTGTTAGCACCATTGACTTGTGACTTAAGATGACTGTCAATAATAAACGGAAGAAATGTGACAATTCCAGCTTTGAAATTGACGAACGCACGTTCTAAATTGAACCTAAACTCAAAAAATTAGTGATTGTTGTTAGCTTATATGGACTCGCCATTTGAAAACTAGAGCCCTGTATATGAAGATATTCAAAGAAGAGCATCATTGACGCCTTCTTTGATAAAGTGAATAACCAACAATTGGTGACATTAGAAATGTCCATAAAACCGTATTTATCGCAAGCCACCTTTCAAGCCTTCTAATCTTTGATTGCATCTCCTCAATAATGCCTTCAATAGGAGAGACTACCCTGCTTGATGAGGATTCTGAAGAAGTGTTGCAACCCTGAGATTGAATAAAGTCCATAATCTCTAGTAGCCTTGTTGATTGCTAAAAGTTAATCCCACCAGAAGTTCTCTCCGTTGTTGGTAGCCTTTCCAAAACTATTTCAAGGTAACTCTTAGTAGTACACGAGCCATCCAATTTAAGCATTGAACCTGCTGTTGCCACAACATCTTTAGAAACACCCTTTATATGAATGTATGGACCAGGGACATCTTGTAGATGATCAACCTCAATTAGAATCATTCCATGCAGACGCTTCAATATAAGCAACTGCTTAATACCCAAGGTTAATAAGATCGACAACCGTAGTAATGCTAATATCAAAATCCACTTTAGGCTGAAAGATGAAGTTTCCTTCTCTGATAGGCTCACGTATCAGTAATGCAAATCTGCCTTCACATACTTGGACAACTCATGTAAGGTGCCAACTGCTTCACTATTATACTGCTGAGACACCACAAGCTTCGGAAGAACAGAAGGAATCATTTTCTTGACAAGTTCTTTAGTCTCAACACCAAAGATAACTTCTGCAAATTCCCTCACTAAATCTGGGCGGCTAGCAAGTCTCTCAGAGAGATATTCATACAGTTCATTATAAATGTGAGCATCTTTAGAAAGAATTAGTTCAAGACCTCCTTTAAGATGGATATGACAAGATTTATGTATTAATCTTGATGCATTCATTCTCCCAGTCACATGTACACCATCCAGCTGATCAATCAACAGTATCAGAGAAGATAAGAACAGTTTGCTACCTATATCAACATAAACCATTATTCCTGCTGTAGATTCCATTTAAGTCTCCAATATAAGTGGATCATCAGCGACTATAATGGCTTGTTTAACTGTATCCAAGAATTTTTGCTCCTTGCTTTTTCCTTTATCTCCAGCAAATATTAAACTCAAAATATGGTCATCCATAAAGGAACTAATATGATTGCAAAATGCATCTCTCAACTCCTGTTTCCTTAGACAGGTATAATACAGCCGGAAGCAAGATATAAGGATATACCAGAGGATCTTTTCCATTTTCGTGTAGCATGATAGTTCAAACTTATTCAGGTAACTTTGTAAATCATCCAAACTGTATGGAATTAGACTATACCTTAGAACAATGGATGAAGAAGATCCACTTGGGCAGTCCCGCACAGTTGACAATTTGAACCACAAGAAATCCTCTATCGAACTAAAAAGAGTCTGTTGATCTCTAAGCAGGCAATCAATATATCTTCGAGAACCTGATATGATGGCATACAGTAGCAAATTTTTCTTGTCATATGCCGTTCGGCCTACCCGATCACCGGTTCTCAACATTCTTTCACATTCCTCTGATGCAGCAGTCGCAACCTCTTCTGGCACCATTCTTCTGGTATTAATCCACTCTGTGAGCAAAGGAGCAAATTGATGTGAAGTACGCGAAGATAGAGCAATATTTCTTGCTTCATCGTAATAACCAGACCTCAGACAAAAATATATTTGTTGCCACGTGGTATCAAGAGGAGGCTGTCGCCGAGCATCACCAGCATCAAAATCTAGTACCTCATAATCCCTCAACCGAATCCGAAGGAAGGAATTCTTTCCAAATTTCCGCCACCGCCACCAAGTGAAGCTTGTGCGGGATGATTTTGTATAGTATCCATGATGTGTTTCTCATGCCCCCACTCAAGGTGGCGCCTCAGCCCTTACTGTCTTAGATTTAAGCTTCTTCGACAACACTTCAAGTTGATCCAAGTTTCTCTGAAGTGGAGGAAATTGAGCAGAAGGAGCAGCTTGTTCGAGAAGCTTCGATGAAGAATGAAGCAGATCGGTCCAACTTGCCAAATCTCCGTTCGCCATAACACTTCAACACGAGCTCAACGCAATTTCTAGGTTGTGCTTAAGCATTTTAATAATGGCCGGTAAACATGAAGAGATAAGAGCTGATCCAGGCATCTGTTCAACAGTTCTACCTTCAGCACATTAGCTCTTAACATCCTAAATATATAATCATAAGTGAGAAAAGCATCATCAAGTGTATCATGCAAAACCCCTGCAACAACTACAGTTGAATTCGCACCAATCAAAAGCCGGCAACTCCAAACAATGCTGCAGATACAAATCTCTACTAGCTCGTATCTGTCCTTTTTATGCTTTCTCAATTTCATAAAACGCCTTTATAACAAACTCTTCACAAAAGATCTCGTGCCTCATTTGAGCACTCATCAACAACTTCTTAGCATAAGACTCAAACTCAAATCGAAATCAACCCTCAAAAGTATCCTCCAAATTGAAAGTCAACTCATCCACAAGTCCAGAAGAAGAACCTCCACCAAATTTGACTTGTACAGACAAAACTCTGAATCTCTAGTTAAAACGGAATTACTTCCAATATGTCTGAGTTAATATCTGGGAAAATAAATCCACAGATGAACACAACCTGGACTGATGAACCTTGACCATAACAGTCTGGATCATACTTCTCATAAAACACTGCTCGATAAACTGATGATTCTCCACAAGACCACTCGACCTTGAATAATCATCTCTTGAGAAAATAAAACACTGATATAGATACTTGCAAATGAAGTAATCCCTTGATAATTTGACCTTAACTACGCATGAATAGCCACACTTGATCCCAATCCATTCCTTTTCATGAATTTCCCTACATAACCTTAAACACATAGAGAAGAGAAAAAAACAAACAAAAATTGCAAAAATATTTTTGGTATTTTAGTTAGAGGTTAGTAAACATAAACAACAATAAACAAGTAAGAAACAAATAAGGGTGGGAAAGCAAAAAGTATGATCTTGTTTATGGAATGATATGCAAATGAAATGTGGGATCTTAGGGGTAAAAATTTGGGTATTACAACAGCCTACCAGAATACAACTCTTCTGGGGAACTAACAACTCGGCTGGAGACAAATAACTCCAATCTACCGGGGAAATCAGCCCTGGATGGTCTGCCAGAATATAACGTTCCGGGGAACAGACAACTCCGCTGGGAATCAAGGTGGACTACTGAAGGATGGATCTATTTTGTCAGAGATCCTGCTGTGCTGAAGATTTAATCTACTATCTGTTAAGGATTATGAATAAGATCTACTGGGGAATCATCCCAAGCTCTTTCTGCTGAGGATGGAGATAGACAATCTCAGGGAAGAAAGCTACTCCGCTGACTTAGCTGGGGATTAGGTAAGGAGGGAATAAACATCGACCTCTGCTTGGGGAAAATGAGCACAATACTCAATAATATCGACCTCTGCTTAGGGAAATGAAACAATGACCCGGACTCTGAGGGGAAAGGAGTCAGTCGTTTAGACTCTGTGGGGAAAACGAAATTCTGCATTCATTCCACTGCTGGGGATAAACCCACATCTACCTGTTGGAAATGATCCTACTTTGCTGGAGACATCAAACTCGACCTGCTGAGGATAACCTTAACTGTATGAAGTTTCAAACTACTGGGGATGAGAACACACTTAACTGCACACTTCCTTTAGATGAGGGACTTTTGGAAACATTTCGAGGATGGGTGTCCTGCAAATAAAAAACAAGCAAATATGTTTTGTGCAGCGGGCACCATCGTAATTATCACTTATGACGTTATTCGAAGCAACAAAAATGTTTCGATTATAGTTGGCAGAGCCCACAAAATTATGTATGCAAAGTTTTGTCAAAAACATCAGGCGTCTTTTGCAAACAAAATGGTAAAAGCTGAATCAAAAACAAAAGTTTTCTAAATAGTATGTTTTATTGATAAATAGCCTGTAAATAGGCAAATTTACAAAGGACGCAACTCCTGAAATGAGTAGTTGCGTAAGAAAAATATAGAAATGCACAAGAATATACAAAAATGTCGGCAATGTGGCACAGACAACCATCATAGAACGACTCAACTATGACTCGCTTGACTTCGACGCTTTTCCAATGCTTCGTCTTCTGAAGAGATTGATTTGGACGGATGACTCTCGAGTTTTCCCATAATCCACTATTCTTTGAAGATCTATGCGCGGACCGCAGTCGTTTACTTTTCAAATCCCTAATGTTTGCCTGAATCGCCCTTGCGGGTTTTCGATTCAACGAGATACCCATTTTTGCCAAAGTCGCCCTTTCAGGTTTTCAACTTTGCGGGTTTACACTTTTTTCTTTTTATCCCTAATTTTTTTTCCCGAACCTATCCTTTTATGGTTCGACGGGGTGCCCCATTCTTGCCTTGATTTTCCTTTTCTTTCCAGCGGGTCTATTTTAAGCAAAGCATCTTTTGACTGCGTCCGCGTTCACGGGGGACGTAAAATCTTCACCATCCATGGTTGAAAGTAGTAAGGCTCCTCCGGAGAAGACTTTCCTTACAACATATGGACCTTCATAGTTGGGAGTCCATTTACCCCTGTGATCATTCTATGGTGGGAGAATCCGCTTCAACACCAAATCACCTGCCTAAAAGCTTCGAGGACGCATCTTCTTATCATAGGCTTTCTTCATCCTGCTCTGATACAGACGATCGTATGCAATTGACGCCAACCTCTTCTCATCCATCAAACTGAGTTGATTTAGCTTGTTCTTCACCCATTCTGCCTCATCTAGTTTGACGTCAACCATAACTCTTAAAGAAGGGATCTCGACCTCTAATGGCAGGACAACTTCCATACCATATACCAACGAGAAAGGAGTTGCCCCAGTTGAAGTATGCACCGAGGTATGATATCCATGTAGAGCAAAAGGAAACATCTCATGACAATCCTTATAGGTCATCACCATCTTCTGCACTATCTTCTTTATGTTTTAGTTGGCCACTTCCACAATGCCATTCATCTTCGGACGATAGGGAGACGGATTGTGATGCTCAATCTTGAAGCTCCGGCACAACTCCTTCATCATCTTGTTATTCAGATTGGAACCATTATCGATAATGATCCTCTCAGGTATCTCATGGCGGCAAATGATGTCCCTTTTGATGAACTGGGCTACAACTTGCTTGGTGACATTAGCATAAGAGGCTGCTTCGACCCATTTGGTGAAATAGTCAATAGCTACTA